GTCACCCAGGCCCTGCTGCTGCAGGCCGACCGCGACGACCCCGCCCAGGGCGCCCGCCGCGCCGCCGCCGACCCCCACAGCAACCCCTTCCTGCCGCTCTCGGCCAAGGAGGCCGCCGCCAGCGAGGAGGGGCGGCAGCGCACCCTCACCACCCTGCTGGAAAAGGTGGAGGGCTGTCGGGACCTGCTCCCCGAGAGTCCCGGCAAGTACCTCGTCTACAACGGGGACCTGGTGGAGTACGACGCCGACCACATGGCGCAGGTCCAGCGGGTGCACGCCTTCCTCATGAACGACTGCCTGCTGGTGGCCGCCTGGCTGCCCAACCGGCGTGGCACCTACCGCTACGACGCGCTCTACCCGCTGGAAGACTTGGCTGTGATCAACGTCAAGGACAACCCACCCATGAAGGACATGTTCAAGCTGCTTAGGTTTCCTGAAAGTCGCATTTTCCAGGCTGAGAATGCCAAGATCAAGAAGGAGTGGCTGGAGGTGCTGGAGGAGACCAAACGGAACCGCGCCCTCAGCGAGAAGCTGAGGTTGGAGCAAGAGGCTCTGCCACGGGCTGCTCCACCACCTCCTGAGACCGCTAATCCTTTTGAACAAGAAGATGAAAAGGAACCCCCACCCGAGGAAGAGACAGTAGATCTGTCCATGGAGTGGATCCAGGAGTTGCCTGAAGACCTAGATGTCTGCATTGCCCAAAGAGATTTTGAGGGAGCAGTTGACCTGTTGGATAAATTGAATGAGTATTTGGGAGACAAGCCCGTGAACCAGCCAGTGAGGGAGTTGAGAGCCAAGGTAGATGAGAGAGTTAGGCAGCTCACTGATGTACTGGTTTTTGAGCTATCTCCAGATCGATCATTACGAGGCGGTCCTAGAGCCACTCGCCGGGCTGTATCTCAGCTCATTCGCTTGGGCCAGTCAACCAAGGCATGTGAGCTTTTCTTGAAGAATAGGGCAGCTGCCGTACACACAGCCATTCGTCAACTGCGCATTGAGGGTGCCACTTTGCTGTACATCCACAAGCTTTGCCATGTCTTTTTTACCAGCTTGCTAGAGACTGCTAGGGAATTTGAAACAGACTTTGCAGGCAACAGTGGCTGCTACTCTGCCTTCATTGTGTGGGCCCGCTCAGCTGTGAGGATGTTTGTAGATGCCTTTAGCAAGCAGGTATTCGATAGTAAAGAGAGCTTGTCCACTGCTGCTGAATGTGTGAAGGTAAGTGTGTTAGAAAGATAGTGATCTAGTGAACTGACCACATTGCTGGAAGAAGACAATAACTTCTGATGTTTAAGCTATGTTCACTTACTGATTACCTCTGTGGCTTTGATCTGGTCACTTGAAAGGTGCCAAGCAAAAGGGGGAAATTAGCTTATGTTCATGTTTTCTTTATGTTATGTGAAAGGCTTTTTTTGTCTGTTTTGTTTTTTGTGCTTGTGTTTTATCCTGTGAATATCGGGAATTCAAAGTTTGGTCTTCCCAGGTTTTGCCCAAAGACACTTCAGAGATTGTAAATGTTTGTCAGCTCTTTCACACCTTATTTGAAGAGAGAGGCTTTATTTAACAAAAAAAGTTTCAATATTCCTTTCTCCAAAGAGTATATTGGATTTAACCTGAATATGGGTTCACAAATAAGCTTTAAAAATACTAAAATTCTCTTATTATTTAACTACCCTGCTTTCAGGCCCTTACAACATGATTTTATTACTTCTCTAGTGGTTCCATGTCAGAGAAGATCTGCATTTCTAATATTAAAAAATAAGATTAAACCAATGTCTTTTTTTTTAAAAGACTTACTTCATTTCTGCTTTATATTTCATTATTTATACTTTTCAGGAGAATATGGTGATTTAACTAGACTATTTTGTAAAATATTTAGTTTAGAAGGTGATATCCAGATAAATATTAATAACGTTTATTATTGAAGGTAGCGAAAGAGCACTGCAAGCAGCTCAGCGAGATTGGGTTGGACCTCACCTTCATCATTCATGCCTTGTTGGTGAAGGATATCAGAGGAGCTTTGCAGAGCTACAAGGATATCATCATCGAAGCCACCAAGCATCGCAACTCTGAAGAAATGTGGAGAAGGATGAACCTGATGACCCCAGAGGCTCTGGGGAAACTCAAAGAGGAGATGAGGAGCTGTGGGGTGGGCAGTTTTGAGCAATACACTGGTGATGACTGCTGGGTGAATCTTAGCTACACTGTGGTGGCTTTCACCAAGCAGACTATGGCCTTCTTGGAGGAAGCCCTCAAGCTGTACTTCCCAGAGCTGCACATGGTTCTATTGGAAAGTCTAGTGGAGATCATCCTTGTGGCTGTCCAGCATGTCGATTACAGTTTACGGTGTGAACAAGACCCTGAGAAAAAAGCATTTATCAGGCAGAATGCATCTTTTCTTTATGAAACGGTCCTTCCTGTTGTGGAGAAAAGGTTTGAGGAAGGTGTTGGAAAGCCAGCAAAACAACTACAGGATCTAAGAAATGCTTCACGACTGATGCGTGTAAATCCTGAAAGTACAACCTCTGTAGTGTAAAATGAAATCTATCTGTTCTCTTCAGAAGTCTATAATACATTTATCAATAATGCTGTCTATGTATATATATTTTGTAAATCTTTTCCAAATCTGAAAGCTGCAAAACTCCACCTGCTGTCTTGTTTTAGCTAAAGACTCCTGAACCAAACCTGAAGACAAGGAAGGGAAAGAAAAATGAGATAATTAAGACGAGAGAGCATTGGGGTCAGAAAATCTTATAATGCATGTCCTTTCCTCATTAAGGTCCTCTTTTGTGATGATTTACCTTCTGCTTTGGGCCTAACAAAATGTTAGTGAAATATCTAAATACTTGTAGCTATAAAATAACCTCTAATCACATTTCTAATTGTATGATTTAAAAAAAAAAAACACATAAATTGCTAGGTTCACTAAAGCACTCTTGTGAGTGTGGTTCTTTGTGAAGTTCATCCACCTTTCAAACATGATTGAACTCTATGAATTTGCAGAATCACCCTCTGATAGTCTTATAGCAGAGATTTGCTAGACAAGGAGGCAGGCAATAAGCATTACTGAGGACACCTATTCACTCCCAAGAAAGATTCTCAGGTTAAAAATGTTGTTTAAAAAGAAAACATTTCCGTAGCTAGCTTAGCAAAAGGACATTGTCAGCTTAAAAATCCTACCTCCCTGAAGAAATGCTCTACCTACTGTTAAATAATCTTAAGTGTTTTTTCTATTATAACTGAAAGAATCTTTTAATATTACGTTGTTACTTCGTTGTTTTGTTTTTCTGTTGATTTTCATTGGGAGTAGAAGCAGGTCCGAGAT